ATTGCTCATCCACCTAGAGCACCTAGAGCATGCAGTCAAGGGCCAACTATCTCCATGAATGATGGAAACTTTTGATTTAAGGAACTTCACCAGGAGCCTGGGCAAGCACAGCTTCTCCCATCCAGATAGATCTGCTGTCACATGTGACTGACAAGATATTTATGCTGATGGGTCAACAGACAGATTCATTAATTTTCTTCTCCCTTGTTCTATTATCTAAGCCCTTGTGCCATCCGCAGCAACTGGAGTGAATGTTCATTTCTATTCCATTGTCATACTAACTACTGCTCTAGTTTAAGTATTCTTTTGAACCCCAAGAACAATGTGCACAAGGCGCAAATCCATCCCGCTCCTCCATGGCTAAGTAGGGCCATTAGACAGGAGAAACAATGGGAACACAGCGGGTGCTCTGTGTTCGCTCCCTGCATGGCCGCACACAAAGACAAAAAGGAGGAGCGCTGGATGGGCCAGGGATGGGTGTCGGATACCCCGACGCACTCGTTTTCCCAGCATCCCCGGATCACAAAGGAAAAGAGGGTCTGCATGGGCCTGCAGAGCCTGCATCAGTCGCTGGGCACAGGACCACATTGTTTGGTTTATTTTGTTTCCCCGAACAATATGTCACATATTTACTTTTCTCTCGGAGGGCCGATGCTAGCACAAAATCATCACCATGTTATGTCAAAATGTCAGCATGCTGCATCGCCACAGCTCCACATGAGGCTGCCTGGCGGGCCCCCGCGAGGTCTCCTGCATCCAATCATTTCCCACAAGCAGCGTTTGCAGGACAGCAGATCTTCTTAAAATAGGACAAACCCAGAAATCCTGGAGCCGGGGGCAGCCCTCACTCATGTCTCTGTCTTGAGTGACTCCATCTGGACAATCCAGGATCACTTTTGATGGCCTGCAAAAGCAGCTGCTGCTGGTTAACAATTTTTTTTTTTTTTTTTTTTTTTTTTACTACAAGAAAAGTGCTACGGGTAAAAAGTCAGGATGGTCTTTTTCTTGTTATTCATTAGGAAGTTTTACCTCGAGCACAGGGATTTTAAAAGGAATTTCCTTACCTAGGTGTCCAGCTGTATTTAAATACCTTTCACTGTTACTGCTCAGAGGAGCTGCAGCTGCTCAGACCAGCTTCCCCTGGTGTGCACGCAGGTGCAATGCTGTGAGCCCCACAGCCCTCATCCTATTGCTGTGCCAGCACCAGCCTCTGGAGAGGACCCTAAATCCTGTCCTGCACTTTCCACAGCTCCCAGCTCATGCCAGGCTACCAAGGGAGCAGCGAAAGTGGTTACAGCAGCCACTTACTAGCCTCCTTCAAGAGATCCCAGTGCTGTGTACCATAGCCCCAGACATATTCTAAGCAGCCAAGGGCTACCCAACCATCTGCTGGAAGACAGACCTATGAGGCAGGAATTCCCAATGCTGAGCCCATGGGAGGTTTACCGAGCAGCCCACAAAGGGGGGTTTTCCCTTAACCAAAACCTGTGCTTTGTTATGCTGCTCCAGGCAGGGCCCAGCCATGACTGCTGACCCACATGTGTCCTTTGTGCAAACAAACACCAGGTCCTAGCAAGGCACAGCCAGCCTCCCAATCCCACCTACAGCTCTGAGGTTCAAAACCTAACAAAGATTCAAGTTTCTCCCTGGTGCTTCTCTCAGTTCCAGCCAGAGTTCCCAGGAGCATTTTTTATGAGAAGTTGTCCCAGTGTTGCTCATCCATCTCAGGCGAGAGTGCCGAGGGACCGCAGGCCTCCAAGCAAGTTTCTATAGGAAATCAGGCTTTTACTGGCAGCTGCACTGAGGGTGGTGCCTACAGCTTGCACTGAGTTACTCATCAAACAGAACCACATAAGTGAAATACGCTCATATCACAGAATCGTAGAATGATAGAGCCACTAACGTTGGAAAAGACAACGAAATCCAAATCCACTAAGTGGACCAAGTCCAACCATCAGCCCAGCCCCGTCAGACCTCCTAACGACATCCCTCAGTGCCACATCGAGAAGTTTGTATTATGTGTTTTGTTTTTTGCATTCATTCATTCTAAAGCAATACAGCTGCCTTCCAAAGGCACTCCTAGCACACCTACAGGAAGCGCACAAAGCCCCAGCAGCACCAAAACTGCATCCCCGAGAGCCACTTGCCCAGCCGGGTTCCTCTGCGATAACACAGCGCTAAATAAAACGGGATCGGTGCCACCGGCCGCAAGCAAGCAAAAGAGCGAGTGACCAAGGGGAGCTTTGCAGCGCGGTGCCGGCCGCAGCCCCGTGCCTGGGCAGCGGATCCCCGCGAGGGGCTGGGGCGAGGTTTGGAGCTGCTGTGGCATCTGGCACGAAAAAATGTCCCGGGAAGCTGTTACATTAAATGGCCAAATCGATTTATTGAATGGCAGGTGTTAGCTACAAACAGATGGAGAACATAAAGGCATAAGCAGGCATTTGTATGGAAAAGAAGCCATCGATTTGTAGCGAGAGGCTCAATAGTGATCGTTATACCCTTTAATAGAAATGTTCTTATTTTTATGGGCTCAGCTCCGAGCAACAATGGCTCAATGGGCACACGCCGCCGCGCCGCCCGAGCTCCGAGCTCTGCTCCTGGGGGGGTGGTCGGGCCGGGCGGGGTGGGGCCGGGCCGGGCGGCGCGGAGCGGCGCGGAGCGGTGCGTAGCCGCGCTGTCCCAGTTGGCACGCGGCGTGCCCGGCCGGCCCGTGGCAGCGCCCGCGCGGCAGATGAGGCACGCGCCGGCCTCATTACAATGAGAATGGACAGGCTGGAGGAGCCATGTGGCAGCAACAGTTTGCAAATCCCCCCTCCTTCTGTGCGAATCGGGAAACATTTCCAAACATTTGTACCCCAAATCGACCACATTAACACCCCTCGGAGCGGCTCTCCCTGGAGAGTTGCTCCGCGCTACGGCCATTTAGGCAGAAACAAAACAAGCAAGAGGGATTTTTCTTTCCTTTTCCCTCCCTCTTTTTTTTTTCTTTAGGCTCTCTCGGTGTGTATCAGCGCCGAGTCGATGCGCAACTTTCGAGCTAAGGGGTTTAAAAGCCACCGGGGGATGCTGCTCACGCAGCGCACGGAAGGGCTGGCGCTGAACATACGGGCAGGTTTCTAAGCGAGGCGGCCCCGAAACGCAGCCCGAAGGCAGCACCGGGGCCCGCGGCCCGCAGGGAGGTGCTCTGCGGTGTCCCCCCGCTGTGCGCCACATCGGGCGCGGGGAACTGGGGAGCGCCGCGCTCCCGCTCTCCGCCTTTCGGGCACAGCCGCCCGATGCTATCAGCGCAACTTTTTTTTTTTTTCCTTCTGAAGTCCGTGTGCGTGTGTCAACATGCAGCAGGTGGTTTGTTATATTCCCCGCGTATTACTTTATGAGGGGCTCTTTTTACAGCCGCAATCACAACAACGCCCCGGAGTCTCATTTTACGCCCCTATCGCAACCGCTCGCTCCGGCTCCGGGAAACGTTTGCCCGGCGGAGCCGCTCGGTGCCGGGATCGGGGAGGGGGGCGACGTGCGCGGCGCGGGACCGCGGGGAGTTCTGCGGAGCTGCGAGGAGCGGAGCCCCGCTCGCCTCTCCGTAACCTACATTAGCTGCGGGTCCATATGGTAGATGCTGCCTGTGGATCCCCAGCGCCGAAGCGAGGCCCTATTCTTGCGCGCCGCCCTGCTTGTGCCAGATGGTGCCTGGGCCGAGTGGCCATGCGTGGGGTGGCTCTGGTTAGCCTAATAAACGTCCAATACAAGTCAAAAATCAAAACACACACATACTAACATCTGCTAGAGCCCGCAGTACCCAGCTAGCCTTTCAATGCTGAATTAAAGAGCCCCACAGCCCTTCTGTTCCCCTAGGTTAGACACTCATTACCATTTATCAAGCACTGATGTTATCTGGCCTCTCATTTTATTTAGTACCGAAGCTATTAGCATCAGATTTGATTTTGACAGTTGACGCTGCTGCTGGTAAAGCCGGGATCTGGCCGGGCGGATCGCTGCAAAATTCCGAGCTCGTCGGCGGCACATTCCTCCTCCCGACCCGGTTACGGGTCCAGACAAAGGGTTCCCGGCGCGTGCCTCATGCCCCCGCGGGCACCCTGCACCCCGCGCCTTTATTCCCCCAGGGCCCGCATCCCGATCCGGGAACGCTTCCAGGGAGTGGCCGGGCCGAGGGTTCAGAGCGGTGCCGAGCCAGCCGGACCCTGGGACTTCCTCCTTATCGCGCTCCCCCAAAGGGCCCGATCCGTGGAATCGCCGCTGCACCAGGAGCGCCTTTGGGAGAGCTGCGGAGCCCGAGGGCTGCTCCCCAGGTGATCCACGCCGGAAAGGTTCGCAGCCGGGCGAGCCCGACGCTGGCACAAAGGTGGCAAGGCCTCATTACCATACAGCTGAGGGTTTATCTCTCCCTCCCCCCTCCGGCCTCCCATCCATTTAACAAGCTGAAATAAAAAGCCACATGAAAGGCCTTCTCTGTGCTCGGCTTTAATGAGGGACACGCGACCCAACAATAAGCGCACGCCACAATCAGGCCAAGGCTTTACTGGCGCACGCTGGAGCGCGGGCCGGCAGCGGCACAACGCCGCCAGCGGTCCGGCCCGAGCCCCGAGCCCCCCCCGCCCCAGGGCCGTCAGGGAGCGGCGCCCCGGGCGCCTCGGCCCGGCCGTTGCCTTCTGCCCGAGGAGCAGCCCCGGGGCGCGGGCGGGAGGGACGGGGCGAGTTTGGGGAACACGTCGAACCCCGCCACTCGGAGCTCCCGTCGTCGGGGGGAACAGAGCCAAGCGGCCGGGGGTTTGTCCGGCCCCGCGCGGAGCGCCGGCAGCGGGATTAGAGTGTGGGACCCGAAGGCTTCCGCAGCACCGGGCTCCGTTTTTCCAGAAAGGAAAGATGGAAAAGGGGAGGGATCGCCCGCTCGCTGACTGACAGTTTACATAATGAGCTCGCGAGGATGCGAGGCAACTATATAAACCGCTCGGAGGAAAGCAAGTTTCCCATTTACCGAGCGCTGCCGGCACCCGCCGAAGGAGGAGCCGTCCCGACGAGGCGTCCCCATTCCCAGCCCGCGGGCTCTGGAGTTTATAAAGCGCAGGATTAGCGCCCCGAGGGCACGGCCACACCTGGATTTACCTTCCGGCCCGCGGGCAGCGCCGCTCTCCGCGCTCGGCGGACCTTTTGGGGAATACAGAACGAGCGGCGCGAGGATGAGAGCGCGGCGCGCCTGCGGCCTGACGCTGCTGTTAGTGCTTTTGCAGCAGGTAACGGTTGGAGCGACGGCGAGAGGGGCTGGCGAGGTGTCAGTGGGTGCTGGCCGAGGTGTGACGGGGCTGTGTTGTGTTCCTTTGTGCAGAGCGCGTCCGGCTCCGGCGTCTTCCAGCTGAAGCTGCACGAGTTCGTCAACAGCCGCGGGGCGCTGGCCAGCGGAGAGCCCTGCGCCCCGCACTGCCGCACCTTCTTCCGCGTCTGCCTCAAGCACTTCCAGGCGGTGGTGTCGCCGGGCTCCTGCACCTTCGGCAGCATCATCACCCCGGTGCTGGGGGTCAACTCCTTTAGCATCCGCGACACGGAGCGGTTCGACAGCCCCATCAAGCTGCCCTTTAACTTCACGTGGCCGGTGAGCAGCGCGGGGCGGCGGGCGCGCTCCTCGGCCGAGCGGCGCGGGGCGGTGCGGTGCGGGCGGGGTGCGGGCGCGCCGCGCTGTGCTGTGCTGACGCTGCTCTTGCTCTCTGCCCGCAGGGGACCTTCTCGCTCATCATCCAGGCCTGGCACGCGCCCGCCAATTACCTGCCGCAAGGTGAGCGCCGCGCCCCCGCCCCGAAACGGTTAACGGCAGCCCGGCCCCGCCGCCCCCGGCTCAGATGTTTATGCGATAATTTCGGGGCCGGCTTTATCCGACCATCGGCAGTTAGTCCCCAAACGATGCCCGTCAGGGGCCGCTTTGATTCTGTCCCGACCTAATCTCCAACACAATTGCGTTTCCTGCGGTTTATTTTTGGCGTGGGAAAGAAAGGAGCTCAGCGGTGAGAAAGCCGCGAGGCTGCCAAAGATCCCCGGCCGCCTTTTCCTGTATTTTACACCTTTCTCGAATTCCGCCCTTTGGAAAGGAATAATGGCTTTGGGATGTTTTTCTGACAAGAGAGGAAAAGGATATTCCAGCAGCACTTTTGAAAGCCCTCGACGCGGAGCCCCCTCGGCCCGGGCTCTCGGCTACGGGTCCTTTCTCACACCGACCCCGCTCCCTCCATCCTTCAGGGCAGCAGCACGCTGACCCCGCTCCATTCCCACCGACGCGCTCCGTCTCTCCTCACTGGGGCCGGGGCAGCGCCGTGCCCTGTAGCACACACGTGGGTTCCCAGGGTGGGTGGTGGACGTGGCGGTGGTGTTGGCCGCAGCTTGATGCGCTACTTGGTGTCCCGCAGGCTCGCGGCCGCCGCCGGAGGAGTGGCTCATCAGCCAGATGGCTATCCAGCGGTCGCTGGCGGTGGGTGAGGTCTGGTCTCAGGATGTGCAGAGCAGCCTGCTGACCCAGCTGCGCTACTCCTACCGCGTGGTCTGCAGCGAGAACTACTACGGAGAGAGCTGCTCCCGCCTCTGCAAGCGCCGTGACGACCGCTTTGGGCACTATGTCTGCGAGGTGGATGGCAGCCTGACCTGCCTGCCTGGCTGGACCGGCGAGTACTGCACCAAGCGTAAGTGCTGCTCCGTACCCTACCGGTGGTGGCTGCCACACCAGCTCTCCAGGCCCCGCAGCCCATCTGCATAGCAGGGCCTCGGCCACTTCGCTTCAGTGAGTGCTAGAGGGATCACCTTGGTGGGCTGTGCTGCCCCTTGTCCTGTGCACTGGGCAGGCCTGTCCCGCTGGTGTCTTGCACACCTGCTGCAGCTTCCTTAGACCTTCACCTAGGCTAACCTGAGCCATAGCCTGAGACAAGAACACAAGTCAAGAGACCTTTGAGGAGGGGCAAACTGAGGGAGCTGTTTAGTGAAGGTACCCTGGGCCTAACGTGCATTGTCTCCTGCAGCAAGTGCATCAGGAGGCCCCATGCTGGATGCAGCATGTTTGCTTGTGCCCGCTAAGTGCAGTGCACCTGGTGGAGGCTCGGGCTGTGCTTTCACGCTGACCTTTCCACTCTGTGCCAGGAGATGAAAAGTGGCATGCTGAGGACTTTGCACTGCTGTTGCTGCAGCTGCCAATGTCATGCTGCACTTCTACACGTATGAAGAAACTTCAGAGAAGAGCTGATATCCCTGAGTCAGTCATACCTATCCCAAGTTACTCTGCCAGCAGCTTGTCTGCAGAGGCTTCCCCACTTCTGCTGCCAGTGGTGGGGCAGGTGTCGCACTGTATAGCGGGAATCTTTGCTGTGGGCTCAGGGCCCCGCTGGGTTTCTGCAGTCTTTTGTTAGAGTAAGCGTGGCTGCCGCCTCTTGCTGCTTTTTGAGAGAGCTGCAAGAGTTCGTGTTTGTTGTGTAAACTGAAAAAAACTAAGGGACAGCTTGTCAGATGTTGGCTCTCCCTGTTCACTTCCTCCTGCTCCGGAACTCCCCGTACTGAGAGTTTTTAAAACAAAGCTTTGAAAGTGCAAAACTGGTTTTCAAAGTATTTTTTAAAAGCTGGCGTTCCCCCTTTTACAAGTGTATTCTGTTGTCTGCACGTATTTACCTAAACATTTCTGCTCTTTTTTCCTGTCTTCCTTACAGCCATCTGTCTGTCTGGATGTGCCGAACAGAATGGATATTGCACCAAGCCTGGAGAGTGCATGTGAGTAGATGGCAATTGCAATCTGAATTTCAATTAAAATGTCAACTTGTAATAGAAACTTAAACTCTTTTCCATGTCATTAATGCTTTAATTTGACTCTTCTTGTAGCTGTCGTTCTGGTTGGCAAGGCCGCTACTGCGATGAATGCATTCCCCACATAGGCTGCCGCCATGGGACTTGTAAAACACAATGGCAGTGCATATGTGACGAAGGATGGGGTGGCCTCTTCTGTGATCAAGGTTGGTTCTGAGGGTTGTGCTTAGGGCTCTGGGTTGGATATTCCTTGGTCTGGAATTAAGGAATCTGATCCAGAATTAAATTTGTGTATGGTGTGTATACAGAGGTGTTATTTTGTACCAAGGCTGTCTCAGATACCAGTTCTTTATTTGTACTAGTTTCGGCTGAAAACAACCAAGCCTTTTTGGTAGCTCTTGTTTTTAAGAGAAAAACACCACCTGGGTGAGTGGTGAGTGGGCAAGTTTTCTGCTTTCTCAAGCTAAGTTTAATGTATTCCCTGTACAACGATAACAATTTACTAAACAGTTTCCAGCAGCAGTAAACACCATAATTTGGCCTTCCTTATTTTGCATACAAGGAAGTTAACTCATGTGATAAGTCTGGAGCATGAGAGAAAAATCATGTAAGCAAGAATGAAAAGTACAGGTTCCATTTTAAGGTACACCAGACCACTTCCACCTATTCAACCCAGTGAATCACTGAACTGTAGCCAGCTGAGCAGTCATGTCCTCAAGGCCATATATGCACTGCTGGTACTGAGATCATTAAATACTCAGAGCAAGTCAAGTGTTTGCAAGACATTTACAGGATTAAGATAGGGAAGCCTGAATTAAGCAGGAAAAGTAAAGGTGCAATTTTTTTTTGTTGTTGGTAGTTACCTATTAACCAATTGTGTTTCCATTACTCTGACATTTATAGTGCTTATAAAGATTCTCTACTTATGTGATATGGACTTGTGTGCTTAACCTCTGCCTGAAATTGAAAGGGAAAATAAAAACAACCATCTAGTTTGGCAGAGTATTTAGATAGTTTAAACTAATAACATTCATAACAACAGAACACAATAAATAAACAATAAAATATTTCCAATGTTTGTTTAAATCTCCAAGCCTAAATACTTCTGTTTCCTTCCTGCCTTCCCAGAATGTGCCTTGGAGCACACCTTTTAATGACAGGGCTAGCTCTTCTATCATGTGACATATTGTGCACAGAGTGTCTGTCGTGCCTCAGAGTGTCTTTCTGAGAAAATATCTGGAGTACATTGTTCACTTTGGCATCATTACAGCTAATGGGATTGCACCCCCAAAAAAGGGAGAACATACCAAAGCACTGAGAAAGAGAAGTTTCTCAAAATTCAGAGCTCGATTAGTAGACGTGTAAAATTCATAAGTCTCAGACATGATTAGAACTGATAATAACCTGATAAGAATCTCCAGTGTTGGTAGCAAAATTGAAGGCTTCATTTAAAACTCTTTGTTGATGAAGGTGTTTTTGTATGAATGTCTTTTGCTAGCTGTCAAACACTCTTTCTTCTAACACCTGGTATCTTTGCAGATCTGAACTACTGCACTCACCACAGACCATGCAAAAATGGAGCAACTTGCATGAACACTGGCCAGGGCAGCTATACGTGTTCATGCAAACCTGGCTTTACTGGTGTTGACTGCGAACATGAGATCAGCGAGTGTGACAGCAATCCCTGTAGGAACGGCGGTAGTTGCACAGTAAGGGCATTTTAAATGTAAAGTCTTTGTGTGAAGCAAGCTCCAGTATACCTTTTCAGAAATGGTTTTGTAACAACATAATGGGAATTCGATAGTACACAGGTTCATTACTGACTCTCACAACTACCATTCTGAACCCTTCCCTGGATGTGTCAGGGGAGGAAGTCTGTTACAGGAGGAGATGTATCATCTAGATTAGAACTAGTCAACTGATCCTTAGGTTTCTGTGGCAGCCATTATGAGATCTTGGCAAGATCCAAGGCTCGTGAGGGAGCGTATCTGTAAAATAAAAAAAATAAGCTTCCCAAACCAAGGTTCACAAAGAAATGTGCGGTCTATATTTTAATAGCAAGTAAAAGAAAATGTCTTTCAGCTATGGAACTGCAGCATCAGTTGATACAAGGGCAATCAGATGAAACACTTTGTGAAATGAAGTTCTGTATTTTCAGTTTTCTCATGTTTCAGTGTATTTTCAGACCCAGTCAATGACTGATCCAACATGCTGATAGAGAGTGATAGCTTATAGATACCAGATGTAATCTGACGCATGTTTTGGTTAAAGCTAATGCTCCAAGACCACCTAATTCCCTTCTCTCAAGGCCTTGGATATATATTGCTTATAAAGAGGAGACAAGTTTTGTTGTAACCTAGGTGGTGGGACTTTTCCATGGCAAAGCAAAATAACCCCTTTGGGGGGGGAAAAAAAAAAAGGGGAGGGGGTGGGGAGGAGGAAGAGGGGAGGAGCTCTTATGCCAACCTACACAGCTGCAATCAGGATATCTACCCTTTCTATATGTTATTCTGCTCTAGGACACTGGGGATCCCATCAGACAGTAGTGGCATTAGTCTTGTTTTTGTCCAGTTGCCTCTAGGCTCCTACAACTGTATCTGCTCCGCTTGTGCTGTTGCATGATTACTCCTATGTGCCAAATACAGCCAGTTCACAATCCTGCCCCCCACAGTCCAGCTTGCAGTTATTTACTCTGCAAATGCCATTTTTGCCACATCCAAGTGTGAATGAAGTGGGACAGAACAGCACTCGCTGCTGACCAAAAAAGAAACACAGGCACAACTATCATTTGGTGGCATCAAATAACAATGGCCTAATGTTGTGTTTTGCAGGATTTGGAGAATGGTTATCGCTGCGCCTGCCCCCCTGGCTACTATGGAGCTCACTGTGAGCACAGTGCTTTGACGTGTATCGATTCTCCGTGCTTCAATGGAGGCACATGCTTGGAAAAAGAACAAGGAGCCAGCTACACTTGTGTTTGCCCTTTTGGTTTCACGGGGTCAAACTGTGAAAAAAAAGTAGACAGGTGCACAAGCAACCCATGTGCAAATGGTGAGTCTTTCTTATAAAAAAAATAAATCTCATGGCTTCTCCACTTGTTTGTGCTTTTCAGTGCAGAAGTGATAGAAATCCAATCTGACCTCTACACTTCCTCTAATACATTAATCCCTCTCCCTCACTGTATTTCACATCTATCCTAATTTTGGTCTCTTGCGGGGGACTTTCACTGGCATTTTCTATGTTAAAAAAAAAAAAAAAAAGTGCATAAGCTTTATTATGGAATGGGAAAGCATTACGTACATTAAACCAGCATTATTATATATTTAGAAGTGGCATGGTTTTAAAGGGTGATCAGTAAGCTAGAAGGAAGCCTTAGATAGTTAGTTGTTTTGTAAAATAATCTCCCTCTTCTTGAGGTAGTTTTGCTTACAGGGTGGGAGAGCTTTATGTTTCTGAGCGAAACACATTGTATACTGATTTCTTTTTTACTTTTTCCTCAGATGGTAATTGCTTTTACCTTGGTCAGATTCGTGTGTGTCGTTGTCGGGCTGGCTTCTCTGGTCAGAAATGTGAGATTAACATCAATGACTGTGCCAGGAACCCGTGTTCCAATGGGGGAACTTGTCATGACCTGATCAATGACTACACGTGCACGTGCTTGCCAGGCTATAGCGGCAGGAACTGTGACATCAAGACCAGAGATGAATGTGCTTCTGGGCCATGTGAGAACGGAGGCACATGCTACAGTGGACTTTATAGTGCCAACTTTGTCTGCTACTGTCCTTCTGGCTTCATGGGCAGCCGTTGTGAACTACCAGTTTATTCAGTGCCCATCACACTTCCTCCTAAACCAGTCCCCTGGATTGCTATATCTATGGGAGTGGGGCTTGTGGCTTTGCTCATACTGTTCTGCATGATAGCAATGGTCATCAGGCAGATGAGGATGCACCCACAGCAGGACTTGGAGACAATGAATAACCTGTCTGACTTCCAGAAGGACAATCTCATTCCAGCTTCCCAGCTCAAAAACACCAATAAAAATAAAGACCTTGAAGTGGACTGTGGGCTCGAGAAGTCAAACTACAAACCCAAGAATCATAAACTGGACTACAATCTAGTAAAAGATCTGACAAGTAGAGGGACACAGGAAGATAAATATTACAAAAGTGAAAAGTGTTTAGGAGAGAAGTCTCCACTCCGACTACACAGGTGAGAATTTAGCCTTCCTTGTAGCCTCTGTAAGCCCCACACCTTCACACTGGCCTAGATGCAGACGAGAAAATGGGAAAAAATTGTTCTCAGGGAGAGAACACACAAAACAAACCAGAGCAAAGGCAGGAATTCTGAACTGAAGTATGAGTGCCATGGCCAAGTAGTATCCATAGCTAAATTAATTGAAAGCTTGTGCGCACTATGCTGGTAACATGAATGCTGTGAAGGGGAACAGGAGTGACCAGTCCAGTGATGAAAGTAAGAAGTATGTTTCCTTCCTCAGTAAATCACAGAGGAGTGATACTACAGCAAGTAGTGAATTAAAAATAAGTATTTTGCTTATTTAGAAAACACTGAAAAAAAGATTAGAGTGAAAATTACTTCCCCCTTCAAAAAAAAGGGCAGCTATTTGTTGGCTCCTCTATATTCTGATATGCGTACTGAAAGTCTTGCCTGGGTTCTGCTTGTGGCTGCTCTGCACTGAGGGATCTGAGGAGTACTTGACTAAATTGGACATGGCAGAAATCTAGCAAGACAGTAGCCATTTCTCACTTCCACTTCCCTAAAGTAAAATGTCTTGCCATCATATAGAACATGTGAAACTTCATCCTTTGCCCTCCTCTCCCTCACCTCCACAGCTATCTTGTTCCACGCCTACATATTCATGGTAGCATTTCAGAATCAGGCGTGTTAGAAGTCAAATAACACCTTTTTCTCTCTGCCCTGCTTTAGTGAAAAGCCGGAATGTAGAATATCAGCGATATGTTCTCCAAGGGATTCAATGTACCAGTCCGTCTTTGTGATAACAGAAGAAAGGAATGAGTGCATCATAGCCACAGAGGTAAGCAAGCACACTAATGAACAAACATAAATTCACAAAATAAGAGGCAAATCTATCCTTTAGAGCTGCAGCTGAGAATGATGCTGTTTTCAGGGATCTCAGCATACACCTCATCTCTTCAGTGGCATGCAGGAGTGCCCAAGAAAACAGAACGTATGTGGGGAAAAATAAAGAAATGAACAGCTCTGATTTTATTAAACCAGAGATTCTGTGTTTAGATAAGTCGGTGGGAGATGAAAGCACTGAATGTCAGCCTGTAAAGATTCAATATATCACAGGATTATTTCCTCTTAATCAGAGGAGAAAAAAAAAAAAATAGTTCATCGCCCCATTGATGTAAAGCTGTGCATTTTCTTTTTTTCACCCCCATTACTACAATAGATAATCTGTGTTCAGTGACAACAAGCAAAGCTTTAGCTTTCCAGCAGAAGATGAAAAGTAACTGAATATGTTAGTGGATAGGCAGAACAGCTATTTAGTAAGTCTGTAGTAAGACATGGAAGGAAATTTCAACTTCTTGGCATTTAGCTACATATTCGTGGCTGTAACAGAATTTAATGCTGTTTAAGTTATCCAGATGTTGACATTATTTTGAAAAGGCAAAGAACAGTACAAAAGGAGGAAGTGAAGATCCAGCTGGTTCCAAAAGGATTGTTGACACTTTAGAGAAAGGCCCAAAGAGAAGTTAAAAGCAATTTATCACAAACCAATACCTTACAGCGTAGTCACCATTAGTGCTCGTTTCAGTTAGAGACTCCAAGGAGAAGCTTGCTGTGCCATATAGCAGCGACCTGTGAAGTCAGATGAGCAGGATTCTGTCTCCCTTGCCAGGGTGGATATCAGATTTCAGCTTGAAGGCAAGCTGGAATATTAGTCAACCAACAATATTAAAAGTTTAAGACTAACAGAAAGGATTTTCAAAGATATAAATGATAGTTAAATGCTTCATTCCTGGTAGTAAACCCAAATACCATATCTTCCTTTTGAAGACCTTGCTGACAAAAGCTGATTTTTACATTGGTTTCCCCCAGAAGTATTTTTAATTTCAGAATGGCATACCCTGAAACTTTTCTGCAAAGCACATAAGCTATCCAGCTATACCATATGCTATTTACAGAGACATTATGTTAAACACCCAGATTTGTACGATTTATTCTAGGCTTTCCTTCCCTCACTTCAGGTAGGGAAGGCTACTTATCATACAGATGAGTTGTTTGACTATTCTCTCAGGATGCAGGCAAAACTAGTGAATACTGATAGCTAAACTGCAGTAATGTCTGGCTTATGTTACTTTGGTTTGACGTAACTATAGTTTGTTAGTTCTGCTGTATTCTGTGCTTCCTTCTCATTCCTCAAATTTTTCTATCCCCTGACAGGTATAAGACTGAAGATCAGCCTGTTTGCACCTCAGATTTGGTAATGCCAGTAGATGGACGTTCCTGCTGCATTGTTTACAATTCAGAACTGGATTGGACTGTTTGTAATTACATGCAACTTGCTGCTCTCAGGTGGAGGATGGAACTGGACAGACTGTGAATTTACTGAAAGATGCAATAGACTTATTCATTCTTACTGCTCTTGTTTGACATTTGATGCCACAAATCTCACTGGCTATACATGAAGGGAGGCAGAGGGAAGAGAGAGGGGTTAAACATGTTAACTTTTGATTTGCTTTTGAAAGATACTGAGGCCAATTCCTCATGGACAGACCCGTGGCTTTCCAGAACTTTGGTATGGGAGGTGCTGGTAGATGAGGAGGCACTTAACTGTCACAGATGTTGCTGTGGAAGGTGTGAAGAAAGGTGCATGGCTGTGCAGATAATGGATACAGTATAAATGAGGTCTCCACTTTTTTTTTTTTTTTTTTTTTTTTAAATGGGTTTAAAAGTGCCTAAAATCTGTCAAGAGAATCTAATGAGCCCAAACAGAGACTCAACTGCTCTTGCAGTTACCTGAGCAGTATTGGGCAGGGGTGATTGACACTTCCTGCTACACGTCCACTTGCATCTCCTCTCTCCTGCTGCATGTACTGGAGACAATTCAAGGGGCAAGAGGAGGAAGGAAAGAGGGGGACTGAATTTACATGTCATTGCATTTGGTGATGCTTTGGAGAACTGATTGACCCAAGCCACAACATGGGACAGGATTTTCCTGGATTTAAGCATTTGAGAAGGGAAAGATGTGGTGAGAAGGAATGTCTACTGCCTGTTTCCCATTGATAATGAGGAGAGACATGATCCCAATCCTGTCTGAAGCCTTACATCTGCATTTAAAATCAATTGGCTCCTAGAACCTTGTATGTGCTGAACAGTCTCAGCCGTTCTCACGCCTTTTGCACTACCAGCGATTGTGAATAGACATTCTCTTTTCCCTTCCTCATTCTCTCCCTCAGCCCCCTTATAATGACACAGATTTGGGGGTTTACGTTGTGTTTCTGACTTAGGTGCCGCCTTCTTCTGCAAATGGTCTCAAAGTTGCTGCTGTTAATTTCCAAAGGAGAAGCAGCAGTGTCATCCCCCTATTTCTCCATCAGGTTGCAAATTGCCGATTCTGTCCTTCATCCTGGTTCCAAGTGCCCAATATCAAAGCACCCACTGAGATGCCCTCCACCAAGACAGGTGGAGAACAGAGTCAGAAGGTTCTAGGCTTGTCTCATTTCTTTTACACCTGCCCACCGCTGCACGGGGAAGGGGAACACCGCCCTGGACAGCAGAGGCCTGCAGAAACTCTTATTAAGCATTGACAGCAATAATATTGGACATCCCAGAGGAAAGTGCTGTGATAGTAATGACATGAGACTGTGCGGTGGGGCAGAACGAGGAAGGAAGAAACAAAATCTCTTTGAAGAAACCTGCATCATACCATCTCTTGGACAGTGACATCTCTCTCATGCCCTTGTAAATCCTGTTGGACTAGCCCACCTACTGCCTTGAACTGTGCAGACAAGACCCCTTTGTAATGTCCACTACTGACCTTCTGCTCTGACCGTGTAGGACCGTTTGGAAGATGACCTTCAGAAATCAATAATATGGGTTTTAGTTCATCTGTTTGTAGTTTATTTTGAAGACTAGTATTTCAGTAATTTAAAAAAAAATTCAGAAGCACTGAACTTTCTACGTTTTATAACATTATTTTGTATATAATGTATATTTATAATCAAAACAGAAGTGTAAATATGTTTATTACTTCTCATGTAATGTTTTTAATGTGATGACAAAGTTTGAATTTTATTTTTTTTTTTTTTCAAGCAATGAAAATACTTTCCTGCTACCATGGAGTTCATTGTGGTTTGTCCTTCTACACTTCAGGTTCCATGATTTTTGTGGCAGCCAAAGTTACCTGCAGCCCCATAAATCCACCCATGGAGCTTGTCCACCCATTCCTCAAAGGCAGTCCCACATTTCATTTTGCACACCAGCTACTGAAGGCACCTTTTATATCCATCGATCAACAGAGTTGTTCAGCTGAGTAGTATGCATCTGACAGACACATTATTTATACCATGATTTGTGATATTGAAGTCATAAACATATACGATTTAAATATACACGTTATTATATTTATATATTATCTTGCCATAGAGCGGGATTGAACTGTCAGGAAAGCTACTTCTGTTAATGTTTCCCTCCTTGACAACTTATGACGTGGAAGATACAGATTTGATCCCGTTTCAGGGTACTGGCTTTAGGTTCATAGAGCAAGATTAATTTTTTTTTTTAACTCCTTTTCTGCCAATATTTTTACTAAGACCCAAGTTTCACCCTGCTCAGCATCTACATCTACGCTTGCAGAACTATACCCCTGTTTGAGTGGGATTTGTATTTTGCTCATGGGACTGGAGGGAGTTTCAGACCTTTTCCTCCCACCGTCCCTTTGCTACACCAACAGCAATATCCTCCCCAGCTATCACAGTCATTATCCTCCCCAACCCTTTTGGAAGATGCTTCCACAAGAAGTGTAAAAAACCATGCTTGTATGAAACACTCCCTGCAAGCATATTAGCCTTTGAAACGCATACATTTAGAGGCAATTAGATCTCCTGCTAGATAGCTAGGTGCAGCACAGCCAACATCTGAATGCACAAAAGCAAGAACTGTAAGAACAGGAAACCTCTGCTGCTCTACTTTAAAAAGTTTTCTTTTTTTCTGTTTTTGACAAAATGCCAAAAGAGCATCTTAGCATTGGATTCCTTTCTTATCTTTCCCAAAATAAAATCTAACCAAAACTCGCAGGTTTAAAAAGCAAAACAAAAAACCAACCCGCAGACGTGAACAGAAGAACCATAACAACTTATTTCTACTTTCTCATTAAAATACTGCAAATAATGGCTTATAAGGATCCTTCTGAGTCTATCGCTAAGGTTACATAAATGCTATTTACTTTGGATGGTTTTTGTTTCTCCCTCCTAGTTCTTTTCTTAGCAAAATTAACTTTCAAATCCCAATCAATTTCCCTGGCTACCATAAAAATAAACTTAAGATGAAACTCAGAAATAAAAAGCCACCTCCCCCTCCCCAAACATTCACCCTGTAGAGCAAATTATGAAAAACAAGCCATTGACAAAAAGCCGAGCAGATGCTCCCTGCTTGCAGTCCTTCCTCGGCAATGTGAAATAAACCCAACAGATGCCTCTCTTAATTGAGCACATGGATTACATACACACATGCACTCTGTCCTGCTTAAAACAAAACACACACAAAAATCAAACGGGAAAATAGCCAGAGAACTCTTCCCAAAACCCAGGCAAGCAGGAATGCTAAGACCAAAAAAGACTCTGCTCTTCCTGCTCGAAATAAGACAGGAAACCGTATCTATAGGCAGAAGGGAGTTGAAATCCATTAAAACCCATGGACTGATTATGTAGATCCCACAGGGTAAAGCAGGTATAACACATGCTTTTGTGTATCCACACAGGAGAGAAGAAAAAAAAAAAAAAAAGCTTGAGTTTACAAGGAAATCTGTGAATATTTACTGGAGGCAGTACCGCACCACACAGCTACCAGAATAGATCACAGATCCTACACAGGAAAAACAGGAGCTGTGCCTGCTTCCACACAGGAGGAGATGGAAAGCATATGTGAATCTATGCACGTGTGCACATCCCCAACTCCTTGCCAAAGAAATTACAAGCAAACTAGCTGAATACATATCATGACCTGGATTTAACCCACAACTCTGGCCAGAAGTTCTCTCACCAGGGTGCTGCGCGCTGCCTGCCCTCCAGGTGAGAACATACACGTACTCTGGGAGGAGCTCTGGGTCCTCCTGGGCTGCCAGGGCTCACCGGGACTTTAGAGACTCCCCGAGGGCTACAGATAATTGCAGGACTGTAAATGCGCTGACAAACAATGCCTTATAGACTTCCCAGAGCCAACTATGGGCTCTCACTAACTCCTCTTAGGACAATTTGCCCTAACCATGGTTTGATTATGGGTTTGGCTTGAGGACTGCACTTATTGGTTTCCCGATTTAAAAGACCACCCAAACTCACTTAACAACAATGTGAATAAGCAGCAATCGTAAGATCAGAATCCTGAAACACTCAGAAAACTTCAGTGTTTGCTCCTATTATAACTTAACAGAAACTATTTCTCAGCTATAGACAGAGCCCAGTTTCAGGGCCAGGCATTGTTGTTGCACTTTCAGCTCCAGCCCTGCAACATCTACCTCTCTGAGCTGTTTTCTTATAGGGGGAAACAGCTGCTGGGATAAACCCGTAACTATAGCACCCACTGGTGCTGAGACAACACGCAGCAGCACAGCACTGAAAAGGCAGCAAAGGGGAGGGAGTTTAATTAGCTCAAAGAGGGATGCTTGCAGAAATTATGCTTGATACAGAACCTGCCTAAAGTGGGATACAATGCAAAGCACATTTTATCTTGCACAGTACTTGTCCAGCGGCAGCACTCAGCCTTGGCAGAGCTGCAGGGAGAGGCTGAATTTGCCACAGTGCAATTGCAAACATCCAATCCAGCAGATAATGCAATCTCTGTAAAAACACATTTCAAATACTTGCATTGTGTCTCAGACTTTTCATTCACTCATGCACAGCAAGCTGTGAAAAACCTGTATTACAGTGGCTTAAGCAAAATAATGTGTTTACCTGTCATTCCCTTATCTTGCATACCTGATTCATGAATACATACTGATTTTACAAATCAGATAAGGCACTCCCAGCACATTTTGCTCACAATCCAAATTCCAGTTGTGGAGAATTGTCATAATTCAGTGGCCCTTTGCCACACTTCTCTATTTTCACAACTTGATTTTATGGCCTCTCTAGAGACTCAGCACCAAGCCTTCCCACCCTGCTCTCCCTGCTAAAGTTTTGCCAGATCAGCTCCCGAAGCCCACAGGCAACAACCTGCCGCTCTGCTGGCCAGAGACATTTGTCCCCAGTCATTCTCCCACCTGCTCTAACCCTGCCTACTCTGCTCCCAGACAAGGTCTGGGCAGTACTGTGACTCAGCTCTATAAAACAACCTTTCCTCTGCCTCGTCACTCAGAAGCAGTATCACCACTGCCATCTGCACCCCTTATCCTGTGCAGCTGTGTGGCTCTTTTCTGCAGCACTGCTGTCTACCATGCTGCAGATTTAGGACAAGACTCTCTCCAATTCACGTGTGTAGATAAATAATTTAAGGTGTTAGATCAACTGTTCATGCATAGTGTTTGGTTCTGGAGACCAGCATATGCTTTCTCTCTTTCCCTTTAAAATCCTGATGCAAAGCATCACCTTCCCACATGTGCTCCCTTCTCCAAGGAAAGCTTGGCTCCCTCCTCCAGTTCACTGTTCAGCTGTTAGGAGACACAATGGAGAAAAGACACAAAGTTGATCTTCATACAAGATACACCCAGTAACCCAGAGACCTTCTCTAGCTTCCAGTAACC